AATCCTACAGGAATTCCATCCCATAATCCCTGGAATTCCATCCCATGATCCCATGGAATTCCATCCTAGAAGAATCCCACAGGAATTCCATCCCAAAATCCCACAGAAATTCATTCCATGGGAATTCCATCCTGGAATCCCACAGGAATTCCATCAAATCCTATGGAATTCCATCCCAAATCCCATGGGAATTCCATCCCAGAATCCCTTGGGAATTTCTCCATAATCCCATGGAATTCCATCCCAAATCCTCTGGAATTCCATCCCAGAATCCCTTGGGAATTTCTCCAGAATCCCATGGAATTCCATCCCAAAATCCCAAAGGAATTCCATCAAATCCCATGGAATTCCATCCCAGAATCCCCTGGGAATTCCATCCCATAATCCTACAGGAATTCCATCCCCGAATCCATGGAATTCCATCCAGAATCCCACAGGAATTCATTCCATGGGAATTCCATCCCAAAATCTCACGGGAATTCCATCAAATCCCATGGAATTCCATCCCATAATCCCCTGGAATTCCATCCCAAAATCCCTGGAATTCCATCCCATAATCCCTGGAATTCTCTCCGCAGGGTCAGACCATGGACGACATTCCCAAGGAAGTTCTGATCGACTGCGCCCACCTGGTCAAGGCCAACAGCATCCAAGGTATCCCGGAATCCTGGGAATTCCGCGGAAAATTCCCAGGAAATTCCTGGAAAATCCCCAGAAATCCTCAGGAAAGGGCCGTGTTCCACCCCTGAATCCCGGGAAATCCCAAGGAAATTCCTGGGAAATCCTCAGGAAATCCCTGGAAATTCCCGGGGAATCTCTGGGAAATCTCTGAGAAATTCCCAGGAAATCTTCAGGGAATCCCTGGGAAATCTCCGGGAAATCCATGGGGAATCCATGGGAAATTCCTGGGAAATTCCCGGAAAATCCGCATGAAATCCCTGGGAAAGGGCTGTGTTCCACTCCTGAATCCCTGGAAATCCCTGGGAAATCCATAGGAAATCTTTGGGAAATCCCTGGGAAATTGCTGGGAAATTTGGGAAATCTCTGGGAAATCCCTGAGAAATTCCCGGGAAATGTCCAGGAAATCCATGGGAAATCCTTTGGAAATTCCTGGGAAATCCCCGGGAAATCTCCAGGAAATCCCTGGGAAGGGCCGTGTTCCATCCCTGAATCCTGGGAAATTTCTGGGAAATCCATGGGAATCCCTTGGAAATCTCGCGGGAAATCTCCAGGAAATCCCTGGGAAATCCCTGAGAAATTCCCAGGAAATCTTCAGGAAATCCCTGGGAAATTCCCAAAAAATCCCCAGGAAATCCCTGGGAAGGGCCGTGTTCTATCCCCAAATCCCAGGAAATCTTTGGAAAATTCCTGGGAAATCTCTGGGAAATCCCTGGGAAATTGCTGGGAAATCTCCCATTTTTTCCTTGTTTTCCCTTTTTTTTCCTGCTTTTTTTCCCATTTTTTTCTCTTTTTTCCCTGTTTTTTTTCCCGTTTTTCCTCCATTTTCCTACATTTTTTCCTGATTTTTTCCTGTTTTTTTCTTGCTTTTTTCCTATTTTTTCCCACTTTTTCTCCATTTTCCCATGCTTTTTTCCATTTTTTCTCCCATTTTCTCCCACTTTCCCCCACTTTTTCTCCCATTTTTCCCCATTTTCCCACTTTTTTCCATTTTTTCTCATTTTTCCCATTTTTTTCCCCTTTTTCCTGCTTTCTCCCATTTTTCTCCCATTTTTCTCCCATTTTTCTCCCATTTTTCTCCCATTTTCTCCCCACTTTTTTCCCATTTTTTTTCCATTTCCCCCCACTTTTTCCCATTTTTCCCCATGTTCCCACTTTTTTCTATTTTTCCCCATTTTTTCCTATTTTTCCCCATTTTTTCCCGCTTTTCCCCACTTCCCCCATTTTCCCCTGCTTTTCTCCCAATTTTTCATGCTTTTTTCCATTTTCCCCCACTTTCCGCCCATTTTTCCAACTTTTCCCCATTTCTCCTTGCCTTTTTCCCATTTCTCCCCACTTTTTTCCCATTTTTTCCCCACTTTTTTCCCTGCTTTTTCCCTTTTTTCCACTTTTTCCTGCTTTTTTCTTTGCTTTTCCCCTGCTTTTTCCCCATTTTCCCCTTGCTTTTCTTCCCCATTTTCTCTCTCATTTTTCCCTCTTTTTTCTCTCTTCTTTCGCACTTTTTTCCTGCTTTTTTCCCATTTTCCTCCGCTTTTTTTCCCATTTTGCTTTTTTCCTGCTTTTGTTCCCCGATTTTCCCTCCTTTTCCCTCCTTTTTCCCCTTTTCCCCCTTTCTTCCCACTTTTTTCCTGCTTTTTTCCC